GTTTTTCTTTAAAAGAATACTGCATAAAATACACAACAATAACCCACAGCTTATTTTAAAGTGCTTTCCTCCGACAGCATGTCTTAGCACATGATTAGAGTTAAAAACTGAGAAACTAAACCTTCTTGGGTTGCTGACCTGCAGAGTGAAATGCAGTCAGGTGACCTACTCCAGGACCAACCAAGCTACAAGTATTTATTAAATATCTATTAGCAGTCCAGCATGAATTTTTGTGCTTTGGATACCAAAAAAGTATTGAGAACTAAGTTTCAGCTTAACCTTAGCACTACATAAGCCAAAATAGTGCACTTCAGTGCTTAAATGGCTGGCAGAAACTACGGCAACTGAGAAGACAAATAGATGAATGATAGGCGTAGTGGGCATTTGTTCTTATGGCCTCATTTTTACAGTCTACTCATTTTTTCTCTAATAAAATGATGCAGATCTTGCTCTGAGGAGTCATGCATCCCCCAGTCTTGGCCATTTTATTTAGATGATGACTAAGAGATGAGTAGGCACATACATGACTACAGCCAATTAGATTTTTTTTAATTCCTAGATTGTGTGTAGCTGAAGCCAGCCTTATGCATGGATTTTTCAATTAGTAAAGCAATAAATTCCTTTTTTCTTAAGCCAGTTTGCATTGGGCTGCTTGCTGCATGCAACCAAAAGATTCCTGATTTGTTTTTTTCTGCTTCTAGATAGGGTGCGATAGAATTTTGCTTCTGAGTAGCATACAGTAGATGCTAACAGTGTAATGCTCCCATTGCAACAGCATGAATGGGCAGATACGTTGCAAAATTCCTATTTCTGAATGCATGAGGGAGCTGTGGAAGTAACAAAGATGAGATGGACCACAGGTAGAGAAGTGAGCTGACTATCTCCAGCCATTGTTCACCATGGTTCGTCTGCCAGTTTGGGGCACGTTTGAAGACTCGTATTGATGAAGCAACAGGACTCTGCTGGGGCTACGAGTGACCACCGCAGCTTTTAGCAGTTAAACAGGGTTGGTGTGGAAATGTGGAAACTTAAAAGGACTCAAACACATTTTTACCCTAAACAAGGTCTGGAGCTGCAGGGGAGCTAAGCTAAAAGCTTCTAAAATGCAAAGTAAAGTGTAGAGTTTCTTGGTACTTAGGAACTAAGATCTGCCAGAGAGAGCTTGCAAGAAGAACATTACCTGTCAGAAATTCAAGACACTGGCTTGAAAGCTGGATATTTTGACTGAAACTTATAAAGAGCATTTACTATTCTGGGACTTAGTAGACAGAGTCTTAACAAGCATTCTAGTAAAAAATCTAGGAGATTTCTGCTCTTTGAACAATGAACATCAGGAATGGACTGAATATTATAAATATTGAAATCTAGTTTTGTTCCAAATGAATTAGTAATTGGATTGAGGTGATCAAGTCCTCACTGTATTTGCTTAAATGTGAAGAGAACACTCTATGGTAAAAGAAAAAATGATCCAGACACTCCATGATTCCTTGACCCATTGTATCTGGCATCCAACTAAAACTTAATAGACCTGTGAAGAGGTAAGATAATATGATCAATAATCAAGAGAAGAAGCAATAAATAGATGTTAATCAACTGATGATCTAGGTAACAGGATTAGCAGACAAAGTATTTTAAAAAGCTATAAATAATATATTAAAGAAACTAGAGGAAAGGGTCAAATAGATAAAGGATATCTATGGAAATCAAATACCATTCTAGAACTAAAGCAAACAAACAAAACCAAACACAAATCTTGAAACTGTCTGGATAGAATAGAGCACAGAATTAGTTCAAAGCAGGTCAATAAAAAACATTCAAACTACACACAAGAAAAAGAAATGGAAAGAACAGAATAGAGAGCAAAAGATATATAGAATGTACTTAAAAATAAATATGTATAAGAGGAGTCCCAAAAGGAGAATGCAGAATGGGACTGCAGTAATATGTGATGATTATTAAACATTTTCAAAACTTACAAAATTTATTAACCCAAAGAGTCAAAGAATTTAACAAGTCCAAAGTAGGAAAAACAACTCTGAGTGCATCACAATAAATCTGGTTATAAAAAAGAAAAAAAACAAAGGAAAAGATAATCATCTTACAAGCATCTATAGAAAACACTGCTTTCAAAGAAAATAAAATTAGAGTTTGAGGTGACTTCTTCACAAACACCGTGGAAGCAGATAGCAGTGGAATATCTTTAAAGTGCCAAATAAAAATAATTGCCAAACCAGAATTATGCATTCTGCAAGAATGTCCTTCAGAATAGCATTAATATTTTCAAAGACTGAAAGAACCTTTCTTCAATAAGCCTACAGTAAAAGAAAACCTAAATAGAATTCATCAAGCAGAAAGATTATCACAGACAGAAACAAGGAAATGAAGGAAGGAATGAAAAAAATGCCAGAAAGCATAAAAGATAAATATATGCTAAATGTAGGAATACATATGCTCATATATATATATGAATATAAATGAGTATCTGTAGAGTTTCATTTATATGTAGAATTCAAATATATAACAACCATAAAAGTCAGGAGTTTAAAAGTCCTAAGGTATTAGCAATATTACAAAGTGGTAAATATAATAAGCCAAATTGAACTATAATTCAATGATGTGCTTTATAATATCTATAGACACTGCTAACAGGAGAGTATAGTAATATGTAACTATAGTTAATCAAAAGAAAATATAGAACAATAAACATATATGATTAACCCAAAAGAAGTCAAGAACAGAAGAAAAGTGAACAAAAGGTAAAAATGAAGAATAAATAAGGTTGTAGACATAAACTCAACTATTAGAAATGGCTTTAAATATAAGTGGATTGAATGCTTCAATAAGAATCTAAGACATACTGAATAACAGTTAAAAACCCTTTATGCTGCTGACCAGAGACACACATTACTTAATAAACACATAGAAAGTTTTAAAGTTAAACTTTGGAAAATATTTCACCACACAACACCAATGAAAAGAACATAGCTGTATTAGGAGGCAAAGTAGATATGAATAATAAGAAGCAAGGGTATTTTATGATGATAAGGAGGCTAATCCAACACAAGATATCTCAGTCTAAAATTATGTGCTCTCAATATCATAGCTACTGTTGGATTCTCCCAGAGGAGGACGCCACCCCAAATCACTCACAAAAGGCGTCTCTTGATGCAACAAGCAAGAGGAATTTATTCAGGAACCAGCTAGCTGGGGTCCAAGTTAGCCCGACGCAGCGGGTCTCAACAAGGACCCCGAGCACACAAAGCCAGAAGGTTTTATAGCATTTTCAAAGGGGCAAAATTTTCCACAATCACAATACAGGGTTTTTTTCTATAGGCTCATAAATCTTTGGCTGGCGCCACATCCTGGGGTCTGGTTAGATGAGATCACCTTCTGAATGTCTAGGGTGGTTCTAGCAAGATAAGCTAGGTATGTATGATTAACTGATTTACGGTTGGCTAACTGAAAGTCACTACAATTGACACTGGCTGACTAACTTGTTTTTCAAGATTCTAATGATTTTTCCTTCTTCTAGGTTAGGGGGTGGTATTTAAGCCTTTAAGATGGCTGTACTTATGCTAACTTTTGATTTTTCAGATCCTACACTACAAAATAGATGAAACAAAAACAAACACATGAATGAAACTGAACTAAAATGATGTGCTGAAAATACCTACAAAGTTGACTTAATGAGCAGACAAAAACTCAGTAATGGTATAGAAGATCTGAAAATAAAATTAATAAACATATGCAATTAACAAATATAGAACTGAAATCAACATTAATAAAATTCAAATCGTTTTCATGTACACATACCAAAACTGCCTATATGCTGGGCCAAAAAGAAAGCCTCAAAAATTTCAAACAATTAAAATTATTCAGTTTGTCTCTCAGTATAATTAGGTTTAGCTGGAAAGCAATAACAAAAGCATAATGAGAAGAATCCCAAATTCATTGAAATTAAATAACAAACTTTTAAATCCATGGGTAAAACAAGCAATCAAAATGGAAATCAGTGGATACTTTATATGGAATAACAAGGAATATTAGCATATCAAACTTTTTGGAATGAATCTAAATCAGTGCTTGCAAGGAAGTTCTTAGTTTAAATGCACTTAAGAAAAATAAGAAAGATAAAAATAATTATTTTAAACCTTTATTTCAAGAAACTAGAGAATGAAGAGCAAAACAAAACAATGAAAATAGAAAAAAAAGAAATAATACTATAAGGGCAGAAGTAAATGATATAGAAAAAAATCATAAGCAGAAGAAAAATCAACAAAGACATATATGTGAAAGATCACTGAAACTGATAAACTTTTGGCCATCAAGCATGATTAAGAAGGGAAGGAGAGACAACAGAGAGAGAGAGAGAGAGTTAGAGCACCGGAGATTTTGTTTTACAGCTAAAGAGAATGTTATGAACTTCAGGCAGATAAATTAAAAAATTTGAATAAAAGGGACAATATCTACAAAAATATCACACAGCAATAGTAATATAAGTAAAAATAGAAGATCTTAATGATCTTGTATCTTTTAATGGAACTAAAATCTGGTATTTAAAAAATCATTTTCAAAGATGCATATGGCCTCACTAGCTAATTCTTCTATTCACTCAAGAAAGAACATTCAACTTGGATAAACCCTTCTAGAGAAAATACAATGAAGGATCTTTTTCTAATTCTTTTTATGGGGCCACCTTACCTTGATTACAACATTTAACAACGATATTATAAGGAAGGAAAACTACAGACCAATTTCTCTCATGAACATGGCTGCAAAAATCTTTAACAAAAAAATAGCTAATTGAACCCAAAGTATAGAAAAAGGGATAATAATTTACAATCAAATGGTGTTTATTGTAGAAATATAAGGTTGGTTTATTATTTGAAAAGTCAGTCAATTTAATTGGCCACGTTAATAATAAGAGGGGGGAGGGTCATCGTCAAGATGGTGACATAGGTCATTGCTGACTTCAGGTCTCTCCTGCAGGAAGACCAGGGAGCAACCGTCCTTTGACATGACACCATTGTGACAGTCCCGGAACTTAAGGCTGAAGCACCCCCTGGAGAACAGAGACATGGAAGGACTGCACTGGAAAAGTAAGAGGAGAAGTTTAACCTTGACTGCATAGCCGGCTCCTCAACCCCAGCTGGCCTAGTGTCACTCTGTGAGGAACCCCCTTGGGCCTATGATTTTTCTAGTTGGAAAAAGAGCCCAAGATGGACATCGAGCTTTGCCCACATTGTGGGACGCCTCCTCAGGAGGCTCACTCAGAGCTCACCTCACAGGGGTCACTGGAGGAATCTGTGGAACTCAACCAGTGCGGAATTAGGTAGAAACAGAAAGGCAGAGACAGGGCTTATAGCAACCTGTCACCGAGCCTGCAACCCCACCTGACTAGAGGTGATTGCAAAGTACAGCTGCTGGCCTCACCTGACACCAGAACATAGTCAGCCCCGCTGCCTGGCCAAGGAACCCACAGTGGCCCCACCCGAATGTGGAGCCCAGCCTGCTGGGGATGTAAGGTAGAGCATGGTGACTGTAGTTAACAATACTGTATTGTACACTGAAAGATGCTAAGACATTAGATCTTAAAAGTTCTCACCACAAAATATACATTTATCAAATCATCATACTGTACAATTAAACCTATACAACATTATATGTCAATTACATTTCAATAAAACTGGAAAGAAAATAAAAGAACACAAGTATATGATCGTCTCTATGTAAATTGTATTCTGAAAACATTGAAAAAAATCCTAACTTATCCATCAGGGAGAGCCTCATGCAGAAATAACATCCTAATTTGGATCTTGAAGCATTAATAAAAAGAGGAGTGCCAATTGCATGAGCTACTAGGATTTTCCACTGGGGATGGTGCAGATGGAATTTCTGCTTTGGATCTGGGGTCCTGCAAGAAGATTGCTAACGTGACTTCTAACACCCTGACCCCATGATTCACATTTTTAATCAACAACAAATTAAATTATAGTTTCTTGACTCTCTCATATGCCCCAACTTTAGGAAAATCTACACTTCAAATAAATATATAACCATTATCAATTTCTTCGATGGTAGTTGCCCCAAATGTATGCAGTAAGAGACTTTCCAATAAATGATCCATATATGCTATTAACATATGGACTATAATGTCTCTCACTGTTGATTTATCCAAACAACAGAACATAAAATACAATATAGTACAATCCTCAAGAATATGAGCTTTGACATCAGCATACCAGTGCTCAAGTCCTTGCTCTGCTCTGCATGAGTTTTTACCTTAGCTATTGGATTCCCAAAGTGTTTATGACTTATTTTATAAGGAGACCTGGTCCCTGGTGGACTCTATTACCTCCAGCTTCTCATAAATCAATGGAATGGCCCCTTCCAAAATAAAAAAATCCAAGAAACATTTTCTCACCTGTAAAATGAGAACACTAAAAGTAACACGCTCGGTGAATACTTACGAAAACTGAAAGAGGTAATTCATGTAAACTTTTAACACAGTGCCTGGCACATGCATATTTTTTGTTCAGTAAATATCAACTTATGTAATGATCATTATTCCTGTTTCCTTTCTTGTAAACAACAAAAGAGGCATGATTCCTAACATCTCAGAAGTACTGAGGGTATTTTTTTTTGGCTTTGGTAACCACAGCTGACTTTGTCAACAAATATGTAATTTTTTACACTTAAGTAAGGTTATAAATTAAAGGTCATTTCATCTTGTTGACCTCCTTACCTGGTCCAGCCACCAGGTATTCTAAAGCACAATGAGCTGACCACAGTGCCAAGGCTCCCCTTCCACTTGGATCTAATTAAATTTCTAACAAATGAGGACAAAATGGAAAGGGTGTTAATTAATTTCTATTGCTTCTTTTAGTGGCTATAGCATAAAAGCACACTTTTTTTTTAAGTTAGGTAACAAACATTTCAGTTTATTTATTTATTTATTTATTTATCTATCTATCTATTTTGGTATCATTAATCTACAATTACATGAGGAACATTATGTTTACTAGACTCCCCCCATCACCAAGGCCCCCCCATATACCCCGTTACAGTCACTGTCTATCAGCATAGTAAGATGCTGTAGAATTAGTACTTGTCTTCTCTGTGTTGCACAGCCCTCCCCCTGGCCCCACCCCACATTATACATGCTAATTGTAATGCCCCCTTTCTTTTTCCCTGCCCTTATCCCTCCCTTCCCACTCATCCTCCCCAGTCCTTTGGTAACTGTTAGTCCATTCTTGGGTTCTGTGAGTCTGCTGCTGTTTTGTTCCTTCAGTTTTTCCTTTGTTCTTATACTTCACATATGAGTGAAATCATTTGGTACTTGTCTTTCTCTGCCTGGCTTATTTCACTAAGCATAATACCCTGTAGCTCCATCCATGTTGTTGCAAATGGTAGGATTTGTTTTCTCCTTATGGCTGAATAATATTCCATTGTGTATATGTGCCACATCTTCTTTATCCATTCATCTACTGATGGGCACTTATGTTGCTTCCATTTCTTGACTATTGTAAATGGTGCTGCAATAAACATAGAGGTGCACCTGTCTTTTTCAAACTGGGATGCTGCATTCTTAGGGTAAATTCCTAGAAGTGGGATTCCTGGGTGAAATGGTATTTCTATTTTGAGTTTTTTGAGGAACCTCCATATTGCTTTCCATAATGGTTGAACTAATTTACATTCCCACCAGCAGTGTAGGAGGGTTCCCCTTTCTCCACATCCTCACCAACATTTGTTGTAGTTTGTCTTTTGAATGGTGGCGATCCTTACTGGTGTGAGGTGATATCTCATTGTGGTTTTAATTTGCATTTCTCTGATGATTAGCGATGTGGAGGATCTTTTCATGTGTCTGTTGGCCATCTGGATCTCTTCTTTGGAGAACTGTCTGTTCAGCTCCTCTGCCCATTTTTTAATTGGATTATTTGCTTTTTGTTTGTTGAGGTGCGTGAGCTCTTTATATATTTTGGATGTCAACCCTTTATCAGATCTATCATTTATGAATATATTCTCCCATACTGTAGGATGCCTTTTTGTTCTACTGATGGTGTCCTTTGCTGTACAGAAGGTTTCAGCTTGATATAATCCCACTTGTTCATTTTTGCTTTTGTTTCCCTTACTTGTGTTGATATGTTCATGAAGAAGTCACTCATGTTTATGTCCAAGAGATTTTTACCTATGTTTTTTTCTAACAGTTTTATGGTTTCATGACTTACATTCAGATCTTTGATCCATTTCAAATTTTCTTTTGTGTATGGGGTTAGACAATGATCCAGTTTCATTCTCTTACATGTAGCTGTCCAGTTTTGCCAAAAAGCACACTTTTATTTGGAAAAAAAGTAGGCTTCACATGTGGCCAAGAGCAGAGTGGATGGCAAGTCACTGTGGTAGGGTTTTATGGAGACCAGTTTCTCCCCGGGCAGAGACAAACCCCAGCCCAATAAAGAGGCAAATGGACAAGCTATTTTACATAGAAAAAACCCCATCTTCTTTAATGGATCCCTTAGTGTATGTTTATTTCCTCTGGTAGTTTCACTTCATGCATCAACATTTATTGTGATTTATGTGCCTGGCAATGATTAGGGTGAATATGGTTGTTTGATTACACAGGGGAGAGGACATCTTCTTGGCAATGCACCGACAAGCTACCCATTTCAAGAAGCAGTGGGGAAATTTTTTTCCAAAGTCCAGTTCAGCTCTAACACAACCCAGGTATGTGGTTGAGGATATTATCAGAGGCTGCATTGGACTGCCTGAGAGAAGCTCTTTCTGCCCTCCCGGACATTTGCCTTAACTGGTGGTGACAGAGATCTGACTTCGGAGGTGTCACAGACTGAATGTTTGTGTCCCCTCAAAATTCATGTGTTGAAACCTAATCCTTAATGCCATAGTCTTTGGAAGTGGGACCTGTGGGAGATGATCCTGTCATGAGGTCAGAGCCCTCATGAGTGGGGTTCATGCTCTTACAAGAAAGACCCTAGAGATCTCTCTTGTCATCTGCCCTGTGAGAGCAGTGAGAACAGTGAGAAGACAGCGTCTGTGAACCAGGAGGCAGGGCTTAGGCACTGTCGGCAGCCGCGGGAATTTTGGATAGCCTTTCGAGCTGGGAGGAGGAAATGTTTGTTGTGGACACCACCTGTCTCCGGTAGCTTTGCCATACAGTCTGCATGGACTAAGACAGGAGGTTACAGAGCATTCCACTGGCGGCGGTATGCTCCAGTAGGATGCTCATGCACTGAGATCCTGGCACAGCTGGAGAACCCCGGGGATTTCTGGGGGCAGCAGGAAGAGGCCTTCCTCTCTCCCTTGCGGTGAGAAATCCTGTCACCCAACAATACAACTTCCCATTCTAAACTAAGCAATGTCTAAAGTGGCAAATATTCCGGAGGTAGGTAACTTGTAGGCATAAATTTAATCCAAGTGTGAATGTCTATCAGCAGCACATTTTCTGGACCACTTTTTCTTCTGTGGTTGGTGCACTGGGACAGTGAGTGGAGAGCCCTCAGGGGAAGAGCAGTACAGCCCTAAAGGAAACGTTCATTGTTTGATCTCATCCAGTGTTAGCCTCTCTGTTGGCTAGAACAGGGCATTCTCAAAGTCTGGGAGGGCTTTAAAATCACATCCCCCACACACTGGATCAGATCTCTGATGGTGGGGTGGGTGGGCAGTACTCAGGATCTGTGTTTGTGTGAGCTCATTTATGATCCTTTGCATGCTCAAACTTGAGAATCTCTGCCGTAGGGTAATCAGCTCTATGAGAGTGTGCACGCTGTTGGGCACAGCTATGGAGAAAGGGGACACCGCGCAGGACTGCTGGCAGCAGGCCTCAGTTCCCACTCTGCCTGCCAGCCTAGGAAGGCTGCCGTCTGGGGGGATGTACCTGACCGATGTGACAAGGTGCCTCACAGCTTCCACCATGGCTCAATGCAGCCACCAGCCCTTCATCAATTTAATATTTTTCCAGACTCTCTGCCCACTGATAATATTTTTCTGTTTAAACTATTTGATTTATTAATCCTGCTCTGAAGAATGTGCAGCGATTGTTGTTTGCCACATCCAGGAACACATGCACACACAGCCCCCCACAGGCCATGTGAGAGATGTGAGATGGCAAATCCTTGCTATGCCCACCCTGTCGGGAAGCCTGGTGTTCTTGTGTGTTCGTGAGAAGCCGCCGTCCTCACCTCCGCCCTGGGCATCACTCGCAGGTGCAGCTCTCATTTGCCTGTAAATTTTTCAGTAACAGCCCCAGGGTGCTGCCCCTGAGTCCTGCTCCACTCTGCTTCTGCACTGGCTGGTCTGCCCGTCTTCAGCCCTCGGCTGCCCTTCCGTCTCAGTTCCGGAGCTGTCTCTGCAGGCCCCGGGACAGTGATCCTGGGGGCATCTCCACCTGGCTCCCAGCTCAGCTCCTTTTCTTTGTGTTCTCCTCTCTCAGGTTGACTCGTTCCCTTTGTCTCTCCTCCTGAACTGCTGACAGCCTGCAGGGGTCACTCCATCTCAGGCTCAAGAAGGCCTCAGGGAGGCCACGTTAGCTGAGGTGAATCTGGCCTCAAGAATAAGCACAGATCTTACATAGTGGGCCAAGGAGACACCAGCCTTTGGCATGGCCATGACGTGCCACCGACTGATGGACCACTCCTGCTGCCAGAGGAGCTTGTCAGCCTCATGGACAGTCTCCTCAGACCTGCTGGTATCCTCAAGCACACCCTCGGTGCCTCAGATGCAGAGAAGTACATGCCGCCGGGGAACCTTTATGCCCGTGCCGCACATGTGCGAGAGCTAGTGGATCGCATACACCAGCTGCCCCTTGCTATCCCAACGCCTGAGAGTCTGAGGGCAAATGGTAAGCAGCCCAGCTCATGCAGGCTTTACAAGGCTCAGAGAAAAAGCAACGTTATAAGCCAGACAGATGCAAGCAGGTTTCACTTTGTGCAGAGATGGCGTTTTAAAATGAATAAATCTTCCTTCATTACGTAGGTCTTCAAAAGGAGAGTAAAAGGCACACGCACAGTAACAGATCTTTTGAGGATGTTTGTGTGTGAATGAGACAACTCTAAAAACTGCGTTTTTCTCCCAGGATGTCCGCCTTTCCCTAATGCCTTGTGCTCAGGGCAGCACTGTGCCCCCTTGCTCCCCTAGGACAGCCAGGGGCCTCACCTCAATTATGTGCCACTGACAATTTTTGGACATAATTGACAGATACTCTGTGCAGTGTGGATGGCCAGTAACAAGCTTACTCCATTCTAAGCAATGACATTGAATAGGAATCTGAAAAGCTTTAATTTCTCAAAAATCCTCAGAACCTCTAGTGGCATCTTTGCTCCGTGATGTCACAAGTTCCTTGATCTGTTCCTGGACATGACATTCTTCTTTCCTGCACAAACAGTTTTTAAGAAATCACATGGCTCAAATGAAATTTTATCAAAGACTGGACTGACCGGATAGACATTTTATACTTGTTCTCAAGTATTTCTACTACCAGCTTACAGCATTTTGAGTGTAACCGTGGCTGTGGCTCATTTGATTAAAAAGTTCTCCATGGGTACAGGCTCGTGCAAGGCTGTTTCCCTCATAGCCAAAAGCACAAATGTAATTGAAAACATTTGATCTCTACTTTGAATCGTTCCTTGCCCCTCAGCCTATTCTGGACCCTGATGGACAGAGAGATCATTGAGAGTGTTGCCAGGGAGAAGAGATTTAGGATGGTCCCTGGGAAAGGTGAATTGAAACATGAAATGGAACAGAGTTCCTTTGCAGGTGAGAGATATGGAGGCTGGAGGAGGCCTGCTCTCCAGAGAATCACAGAGGAGAAATGGACACACAGGTTAAGAACAGGAAAGGATAAGAGGAACTGTAATAAATCCATTAAACTACTGATCAGGTGTGGGCCTGCTTTGAAAAAGAGATGGCTTTAAGAAGTGCCGAAAGGCAGAGATAGAAAGATATGCTATCCTCTTCCAAGTGCATTTGCTGGCCATCTCTGGAAAGAGATGTATGTACACAAAAACATTAATAGGACAAAGACAGTCCTTGTTTGAGCAAACCTATGCCTGACAGCCTCAGAGCAAATAGTTGGAGACTGTCAAGAGCTGGCAAATGATCACCATTTGGAAACAGGTACCTATCATAGGGAGATGCATCAGACAAAAAGACAACTTTCTTAGTTAATGCTCTGCAGACATCCACCACCTTCAAGTGTGACAACTACAGCCATGTTCCCAAACCTCTTTAAGAACATCAACATCCTTCCTTGAAGCCCAGGAATTCTGACTCATGTGGCCAAGTGCCAAGTGTTAGGAGGGCGGAGTCCTCGTTAGTGAGATTAGCGCTTCTCTGGGACACTAGAGAGTTTGCTGCCTTTTTGCTCTCTGCCTTGTGAGGATACACGGAGAAGATGGTCATGTGCAAACCAAGAAGAGGCCCCCCGACCAGACACCGGATCTGCCAGCACCTTGATCTTGGACCTTCCGGTCTCTGGAACTGTGAGAAATAAATGTCTGTTGTTTAAGCCTCCCAACCTATGGTAATTTGTTATTGCAACCTGAAATGATAAAGACACCAAGCTAAGTAAGTAATATGTGTTTTCTCTGGGTCCATGGTAGAGTTGTAACAAGTTAAAGGGCTTTGGTTTGCTGAACAGGTTGAGAAAGATTCTCTTTTATACTTAATCAAAAGGCTAGAAATCCCTCAGCTAGAAGTCTTCTGTTATGAATAGAAATGGAACTCATCAAAGTGTGGTGGAGAAATAGAATATTCTTAAAGATCCATACACTTTTTGGTTCTACATTAGCAATCTGTATGGAAACCTCTATAAATATATTGGATCCAGAATTCGTGCTTTGGGTTCTCAAAATATTTTCCCTTGTTATTGTAAAACAATTCAAACTACCATTCAAACTCTGTTCTTTTTACTGCGTAACTGTGACCCAATACTTCTGCTTTTTATCCATCTACCACTCCCTTTAACCCTGTGCTTTGTGGTGTCACCCGCACAATTATACTGAAATGTTCCTCCTGAAACTCCCCAGTACCCTCCCTGCCTTGTTCTCCTTCTGTGCACCATTTGAGTCCTGGCCATCTGTTTCTTTTTTATACTTCTTGTTGCTTTGGTTTTTATGACTGAACACTTCCGGACTCTTCTACTCCCCTTGTTGCTCTCATTCTGTACCTTCTTCTCCCTTGTTTTTGCTCTCTTGCCTCCTTACCTGACCGTCAGTGACAATGGCTCTTTAAGTGTCCTTATTGTGCCCTCAGCTTTTCTCTTGAGAAGTTCATCTTGTACTGAAGTCATCTGTTTTTGTATCTATAGCACCACTGTGAAGATGAGCAATTCCAAGTTGGAAATCGACGGCACCAATTTTATTTCTATGGTACAGACCTAGTATTTCCAGTTATAAACGTGTCAGTTCACCTTAAAGTCAACATGTGTCATCTTTAATTCACATCTTTCCCTTTAAATTTTGCTCCCCCTCCCAACTATTTCAGTTCCCATCTTCCCAGGATTGACATCATGTTGGACAGGTCCTTCTCTTATGTCCCTCCTGGCCTCTCTGTTTTCAACTGCTGCTACTCTTTCAAAGTGTCCCTGAAATGTATCCCACCCATTTTATTCCCACTTCCATGGGATCTCATCTTCATTTCTTTTTGCCTAGATTACTGCCAACTCCGTTCTGAACACTTGTTGGAGATTGCAGAAATGTGCGCAATGAGGTGGGAGGGAGGTGGCTGATTACTTTCACCCTTACGTATACTGTGCCCACCTTTCCCTCTCCCTATTCTCCCAAATCCATCTTCAGGCTGAGCCCTCAAATGTGCTATCATCAAGGCACCTTTGGATGTAAAGCAGGTGTACTGAGTGCAAGCCACAGTAAGAAATAATTTTCGTGCTTGGGCAACTGGGAGCTGTGGGAAGGATGTGAGCTTGGGGATGGCTTGGGACTTGTGAGGCTTTGTGAGTTAGAGAAGTCTCAACCTCTCTGTGCCTCAGTTTCCTAATCTGTAAAATGGATAAATCAGTACATGACTCCCTGGTGTTACTCTAAGGCTTGATCAAGATGGCTTTAATGTTTCCCCTCAACTTGTCTAAAGTTTAGTTAGGCTTCTTCCTGCCTCTAGACCCATGGACTGCCTCTCACCTAGACCTTTACAGAATCCAGATGGTTTATGATCCCTCTTCCCATCTCTTCTCCTGACCTTTGATTTAATGAAGATGAGTTCATATTGAGTTCTGAAGAAATTGTGAAAATCCTACGATGACCCACAGATCCCTAAAATTGATCATTATAATCCTTTCAGCAATATATAGACAGAATAGAACGTGTTCATAGATATTCTTGTTTTATGTCCTAACAATAGGGAAGTTGGAGGTGAGGGAGAAGATGGGGGTGATTCAGAACTCTGAGTCATCTGAGACTCTTACAATGTATTTATTATAAGCCATGAGCTTGGCAGCAAACTAAACTAAAAGCACCAAGAGAGGTTGCATCCTGAGCTAAAGCACCTGCTGGGAGGCAGAGGCCTCAGAACCCTGCTGCTGGGCAGGGTGAAAGCAGGTTGGGGTGTTTTTAAATTGCTGAGAGTAGATCAATTTTATAGAATTCCTTTAAGCTTTTGGTCCATACCCCTTTGTGCCATAGATAATTCTCAGATTCTCAGATTTTAGAGTAGAAAGGTTGAAATTGGAGATAAAATTTATAGTCATAGTTAATGACTCTCTTCCCATCTCTCTTCTATCAAACCAAAAACCAAAACCCCAAATCTCCCAAACTCAGCCATTTCCATCTTCATTTATTCTAAATTTGGGGCCTGGAGCTGGGGCCAGCAGGCACTCAGTGAATGATTTTCCCACAATATCACCGCTGCTCTCTGCCTCAGGGCTATTTTTCCACAGGACAGAGATTTGCAGGACCTCTCAGTGTGGTGCTGTCTTCCTCACTGACTTGAACTCTTCTCTCCTTGCCAGGAATATAGGAGGACCATTTTCCCAGCTATTGCTACCCAAGGAATAAACATTCATTAGGGAGACAGAAGCCTGTTACTACGCTGCTGAGTCATCCTTCAAAATGTTTGATCAGTTAATTTCCAGAAACCTGCTTGTCCTGGGATAAGGAGAGTGTGTGTGTGTGTGTGTGTGTGTCTGTAGAGGGTGGCTGGTATATTTATAGTGATGGCCATTTCTCAAGTCATTCAACAGCAAGTATTATTGAAAATTATCATTGAAAAAATAACAGTGTCGCAGTAGTCAAGGCTACAGAAGGTCTGGGAGAGGACTGATTCTAGCCCAAGGCACTCATGACCGACCCCAAATAAGGGCAAGAGAGAGAAGCAGCACTGGGCTTCCCCTGACACCTCCACGGTGTTGCACGAGGGTAAGAACCCTTCACCTTTCACCCTCTCTGTCATGTTCAGGTCCTAAGAGATTCGGCACACAGGGACCCCAGGCTAATAGCTGAAGCTCTGCTTGGGCCTGAGCTGCTTCCTTGGACCTCTTTCTACTTTTCTACTGATAAACTGGCTTGGGCAACACCAACAGCGACCAGGTGAAGACCACCTATTTGCTTTTAAAATATTCTGCCTCATTATGTCCCTAAGCACATCTATTTTTGGCAGATCAGGCCCTGGGTGAGCTGGATGCTACTCTAGCCACTTTAGGCTGCAGGTTCCTTTGTACCAACTCTCTCCTAAACCCACATCCCCACCCCTGCCACAATGCATGCACATGTGAAATCCTCTGCAAACTCGGAAACCTTTCTGTAATTTTATTATCCTGACAATCCTCTTGCCAAACATCTCGTCCCCACTGCTTTGAAGCCTACACCTGGGCAATATCTTTATTTGTATTTGACTGAGGTCAGGTGGTTAAGTTCTTGCTAATGAAACGTAAGCAAAAGTGTTGTATAGAAATCCTAGGAATTCTCTTTCTTCCCTTCCCTTTTGTTATGTTGATGTCTGGAATGTGCTGTGGTGGCTGTGATGGCTGGTACTGCAGCAGCTTTTTCAGACTGTGACAGTGAGGGCTACACTTTCATAACTGCAAAAAAGAGCCCGAGTCTCTGGTGACCTTGGAGCTATTATCATTCCAGCCCAGGCCTGGCAACCCCCATACTTTTTTTCTTATGTGTTTGAGAAATACACTCATTAGTCTTTCCATGTCTAGGTGGAATATTATTTTTAATCCTATTTTAACTACATTATCAGCATGTGCTATCATACTGGGTTTACTTTTCTTCTGTTGTTATTCTGTGTTGTATTTCTATGATAGTTCCTCACATCTTTATGTATCTTCTTCTATTTTAACCTTTCCCTTAAAATTTTAGTGGAAACCAGCATTCCAGGAGCTATGCCAGGCAATCGGAAAACAAAGATTAGTAATATAATACTCCATGGTTGTGAGACACTCACCAGACCCCCATTCTAAAGAAGTACAGGTGGATGACATCAGGTGAGTATCATTACCACACATATCAGCTTTGCTGTTGGCATATACAAAGAGCAGGCCTGGTCCCTGGGTTTGAAAACTTTTAGCCAAATAGAAAAGAAGAACAGAAGGGCATGAACTAATGAGTGTTTACAAGCATTCAGGGAGAGAGCTAGATTACTGTTTCTTTTCCTTATAAACTTATTGCTGAAAAATTAGTATCATCTGGAGGTTTACTATTTAGGATCAACAGTGATCTCATAAGGAACCCAAAACTTTGACGTTGTACCCCCTGCTTCCTGGTTGGGAGCAATCCATAAGCAAGATGATTATGAATGGCCGGACATCTGCAGACCAGCTTTTCTTTTCTCTAATTCTTGTGATTGTTCTAATATTTATTTGAAACAATGTAATTTGGTCCTTGCGCCCAATTAGAGCATTCTGAAAATACGGTGAAAGTATGAAAGGGAGAAATCACACTGTTTTCCTGTTTTCTTTTTTCTAGGACTTTTGAGGTTGGTCACAGGCACCAAAGTGTTCGGTAAAGCCAGGCACCCTTGAGGCTTGCGGATGGGTGCCGAGTGGGGAGCCTGTGAGCATCACTGCGACGCTGACCCGTTCCCCCTCCTCTCACTGCTCGGGCTGCCAGCTCTGACCAAGCGCGTTCTGCTGGCTGCGTACTGTGCGCTCCGGCTTTACGTGGATGATTCTTTGAATCATCACAGCCACTCTGGGAGGAAATACAACCACTGTTCTACAGATGAGGAAATTGAAGCTTAGAGAGATAAAGTAACCTGTTCCAGCCAGCACGGTATAGCCAGGATAGGGATCCCAGCAGCCCGACTCCAGAACTCTGTTTTTAACTGTGACGTTGCAGTTTATAAAATGATAAGAGTTCACAAGTTTAAGAAAGGATAGATAGCTAAAGCTAAAGGAGCAGGCTGCCTCCTGCCATCTATGCAATTGGGAGGCTCTGACGTGGTAGAGGGAGAAAACTGGAAGACACGTCCATTTGAACAGGGAGCATGAGAGCCCATTGATTTGAGTTGGCCTTGGCCGAGGGCTGTGTTGTAAGGCCCATGGCGGCTGTGCTTTATGAACTATAAAAACAGCCAATACTCTGCTGCTCACCAGCCCCTGCCTCCCAGATGCTTGAAGGTAATTTTCATTACTCCAGGACCACAGGAACTATCACTACAAGGAGGGGGGGAAGACATGCCCTGGCCAGGTGTGATTCTTCCTCTTCCGATGTTTTCTCCTTTCCTTGGAAGCTGAGAGAATCTCTGCCAGGTCTCTGTCCTCAGCTCTTGTGCATCTGGGCCAACTGAAAGGGGCCATGCTAACACACAGCCTTTATGGCTACGGGAGACTGGGTCAGGGATCCGGCCGCCCAGGCCCGTCAGTACAGACAGAAAAGCAACGGCCTTTGTGTTTGCTCTTCTGTTTGCCGCTTCTTGTTATCCAGCACTCAGTATAAATGTTACCTCCTCCTCCAGGCTTTCTCCGAGCAGCCGATCTTACACATGCCCCTCCAATGTCATCTCAACTATCTAATTTCTTTCAGAGAAAGCACTTCTACTCTCTGAAGTCACTAGTATTAATCGCTATAATGATATATCACTAGTTACGATGTATACTACTTACACCATGAGTCATAATAATATAACTCATTGTATATAATGACATTACTAATGATTACTAGTTCTTACTAGTTCTTACTCATTCTTTCAGGAAGGAATCTTTTCTCTTGTTCAACACCATGTCCTCAGCTTCTTGCCTGGCATACAGAGGGTAGTCATCAATTTGGTCAGATGGAGAAATGATGAATTGCATTATTTTCTTTGAATAGGACTAGCAAAAACTGCCTGTAAAATACGAGAGTGGACAGTTTAGACAGAAAGTTTGAGTAAACATTTGCCTTTACAATGTAGTCCAGAAAGTGGAAAGTTTCTTTCCTCCAACTGACTAAGAGGTGTGCTGTTAGGTATGGCTAGTCAACTTTCTTTTATTACTTCTGAGCAAGGGACTCTGCATTCTTTCCACCTGCTCCCCATTCTGCCAAAGAAAAAATGAAAAACTCCTTCTGAGCTAGTGGTTCTGTTTTCTGCAGTTGTCTTGAACTTTCTTTGTGTTATGTGTATGCACGGGCATGGACACACACATGCTCTGCCATCCAAGATGCTCTCCGTGCTAGGGGGTGCTTCCATCTGTCCTACTGCACAGTGAGCCTCATGGAAGAATGTTAGTAACATGAGCCAGATGCCGGTCAAGGGGGGGCATGAACATTGCCAGGTGACCCCTTACCAGTACGGGCTCCTAGTGCTTGCTTGCCAGACACCACCCAGTCATGAGGAAAATGCAGATGTCAAACCAGAAGAACAAAAATAAGATAAACTTCCTTTTGCACCACAGAATGAAGTTCATGGTACAATTTAGTGGCATTTTCCCCTGTCTCCATTGCTAGTGCTACCAGGGGAACTAACCCATGAAGAAACACCAGGTTTCAGGCTTCCAACTGGTGCGTCAGATAAACCATCCATTATTCACTGTGGACCTGCTGTGCTCAGCTTCAATGTTAGTTGCTATAGGGGATACGGGTGACATGGACTTGTATTCTAGGATTTTATATTCTGAGAGGGGATATTCCAACTCTATTTAACAGAATATAATTTAGTCTAAGTTGACTTTCAGGAAACATTGTATTGTTAAAGCATCATTTCAGGTTTGTAAATCTTATGTCCGAAAAAAGATTGTAAATATCATGTTTAGTGTGATGTATGCCTATATTTTTAGTGATAGCAACTTCTATAGAACTGGATACATAACCAATACTTATGGGAAAAAATGGTGGTTTGAATGTTATGGAGCCCTGCAGAAGCTGGTCTAGTTTGCTATTTTGCTAATTGAAAGGAACAGGAGGTGAGACAAAATTTCTGTTCTAATCCCAGGGCACATTTCAAGAGATAGAGTCATATGAACCATCCCCAGAAGCACCGCTGAATTGCTGGACATTGGCTTTGAACAGACCCAGAAAGTTTCAAGGGGTCCGTCGAAAACTGTCCAAGTCACATCTGTGAGACCAAATAGTGCTTTGACACTTGGTATCCTGGGCTCTCTAATTAGTTATACTATTGCCAAACTCCCAGGAGCCCTAGCTCCGTCAGAGGCCTGGGAAGCTCTGCATGGCCTCAGCACCATTGTCTGCCTGCTTTTGTTGTTGGAATGTCTGCTCTTTTACTGAGTTTAAGTTTGCCCTTCTGTTGTTCAATTCCCTTTTCTGACCAGCTGCCCTGAACCTCATTCAAAGGCCATGTGCGTGTTTTTGAAACTTGGCCATTTAATTCACAGGAGAGCCTTGGGAAACTTTTAGGTTTCAGTTTGTGCAGGGTCACATTGCTTTGAGTTGCAGCTTCCAATTGATGTTATAAAAGACTCAAAAAGGGACTCCAGCTGCACCTTCTGAGTTTCACCAGGTGTGTTAGCAGAAGCCAGCAAGAAAAGGAAGCAGACGGGTTGGAATCATATAGCAGTATTTCAAAAGGATTTGCTGTACCTGTTATATGGTATTTTGTAGATGGTTATTACTGTTCATCACAATAAACTGAAAATATAAGAAGAGAAGAATAAAAAAGCACTAGTGAAAATGATTAGTCTTTATGTTTCTGGGATACCAGGATGAGAACCGGAGAGTTCAAGATTCCAACAGTCTCTGCTTCAGGCTGTCTGCTCTTTCAGTAGAGGCTTTAGTAAGATCCCCTAGTTTCTAAAATAAGGAAAGACCCCTATCTATGTTCCCAGAGCCTTAGGACTGAGTAAATGACAGTGGAGAGGAATTCTGGAAATTCAAATGATTTTGAATCTCAGTAACAGAAGCAGAGAAAGCTCTACAGTGTGCTGTGGCATATGTAGGGCTGCCTAGGCTACAAGCTAAGGGAAATGGATGGGCTGAGACCCCCTGACCTATTCCAGCTGGAGGCTCCTTGGTGTGCCCGTCAGGGTCCCTCTTCAGTCCTGCTGGGTCCTTGGGGTGTGCTTCCCCACCGTGCTCACCCATGATTTGGCCCTTGAGTATAGATTTGTCCCTGGAGAATTACTCAGTTGCAGAAAAGATGTCATCTATATGAAGAAGTGTAAAAAAAGTTTAAGAGGAGAGGGGCTTTCCCTTTAAAATAAACGAAGCTAGCAAGCATGGGCCACATGTTTCCAATCAAACTTTTCTCCTTACCATTTTAGGTCTCTGTCAGTTCATGGTAAAAATCATTCTTTTAGTTGTATTATCTATACTTCATAATGAAACCACTAGACCCTGAAACCAAGTCACATCATGATGAAAGTATTTTAAGCTCTTCATGCATCTAAACCTCATCTCAACACAGAGCTTTTATTTTCCCTGACGCTTTTCAAATTAATTTCTTTCATGGGGGAAAAAAATCTTTGCATGCGTTAAGTTTTTTGGACTTCCCTTTTTTTATTTCCAAACTGGCACATTGTCATTTCCTGTCATAGACAATCTGGCTTTTTGGAAATCGTTGCCATTTGATCTCCTTAGGCAGCTCAGCTTCATCAGCCTCCTCTCTGACATGGAGGGTTTGGGGCTTATGCTGAATATAAATTGTTACATTCTAGTTCTATGAAAAATTATAGTTTCAGATTTTTGTCTGGTTTGCTCATAATATTAAACTCCAAGAAAATATTCCCAATAGCTGCTCAGATCTTGTGATCTGATTAGATCTAAATTTGGGTAAGGGCCAAATTTGCTGGCTCTTAAATTCTTCAGTCTGCTTCTGTACTTTGTAGTTTATGAATCTTATCTTCGTTATCCTTTCTTGAGACTTTGATGTTCCACCCACCAAAACATTAAATTCTCTCTCTGCTTGAGTGACTTCATTTATAAACTGGAGAAATCAACAGTACTGCTTAATTAGGCTGTTGGTGGATTAAAAGAGTTACTATAGTTCAGTATTAAGAACAGTACCTGACAAACACAGACTGCTCCAAAAATGTTGAACCCTTATTACTGTTGGAATCATTATTAGAAAGGTTATTGAAATGGGCATGGCGTATATTCTTAAAGTGACAATTGCTTCCAGATATCAGATGTTAGGGATGTTGAGATCATTTATGACAGAATCTGACTTTCTAAACATCCCCAGTGATACTGAGGCCCTCCAGCTATATCCGGGAAGCATCTTGGACTGGTCACTATCACATGGGATTAGTCTGTTCTCCCTAATAAAGAGAACACTGCTTTCCTACCCTTTTTTTTTTTTTTTTTTCTTCATGCTCCAAGCATGTATTCTTGCTTAGTCTAATGTCCCTTGTTAATTACATTGTGTTATCCTTAAAAATGTCCACTTCCTAATCAACAATTTTCTCAAGTAGAGCAGCCATTTTCCATGTTTCATTTGTAACACAGGGTCAAAAGAAGCCCAAAGGCCATTTAGGCCCTCCCTCTGCCATCAGACTGGATGCCCATTCAGTCACCTCAAAAAGATGAGACCTCTTTTGAAGTACCTCCAAAGAATGGCACTGCATACCACCCTTTGCAATGTATGTCCAAGTACTGAACAAAATTTTTGTTTGACTTGAATGTTTTCAAGTCTTATTAGCTTTGCTATTCTTTGCGCCGGTGTGTTTAAGACACTTAAAGCAATTTCTCCAAGGAGACTCTTGTACTTTTTCAGTCTTTAAATGATGTCCCCACTAATTTTCCCTTAGTAAGATGGAGTTCATATTATCTGTTGAATTCAAGTGACAGAAAACTGAATTCAAACTGACATAAGAAGGATTTCATATATGTAATCTAACTAAGAAGAGCCAGCTAGGGTGACTTGGGATGCTGTTTACAATGAAAGGCAAACATCGCCAGGATTTGTTTCAATTCTGTCCCCTGCTCCTGCTGGTTACGTTCTTCTCCAGACTCCCTCTTTTCTTCCATAAGATTCTACAACAGTTCTACACTTTACACTGCAATCAAGCATAGTCCAGAGGGAAAGAGAGCATCTGAGTAAAACAGATTTAGGTATTTACAAACATCATTAAGTAGAGAATATGACAGAGGATTGGTGATTGGGTGAGTGTTTAAGACAGGGTGGAGGGTGGGGTAAGAACTTTTTGGGAGGTGATTTTTTTTAAATAAGGCCTATCTGAGGAAACAGCCATGAAAAATATCCTAAGAAAGATTGTTCAAAGAAGAATAAACAGCAGGTGCAAATATCCTGAGGCTAAAATGGCTTGACATATTCTAGTGGCAAAAAGAATGCCTCTGTGTTCTTACTATGCTGATGGACAGTGACTGTAATGGGGTATGTAGTGGGAACTTGATACTTGATAACAGGGGGAAATGTAGTAACCACAGTGTTTCTCATGTGAAACCTGAGCATAAGATTGTACATCAGTGATACCTTAAAAAAAAAAAAGAATGCCCGTGTGGTTAGAATTGTAAATTAGGGGCTTTGGACAGAGGTTGGCAGGGTCACACTTTATGGATTCCTTTAGACCATCACAAGAAAGAGTTTTTTTTTTTTTGAGAGGGCATCTCTCATATTTATTGATCAAATGGTTGTTAACAACAATAAAATTCTGTATAGGGGAGTCAGTGCTCAATGCACAACAATTAATCCACCCCAAGCCTAATTTTCATCAGTCTCCAATCTTCTGAAGCATAACGAACAAGTTCTTACATGGTGAACAAGTTGAAAGAGTTTTGATTTTTATTTTGCACTAAAATAAAGCCCCTGGAATGTTTTCAGCTAGGGATGAATTGATTTGAATTAGCTTTTAAAAACTAATTTAGGCTGCTGTGAGGAAGATGGTCTATGGCAAGTATGTTAGCCTGGCGCTCTACTTTGTCCTATGCCCCCAAAAGTGAAGGATAAAACAGGAATGTGCACATAGTGTGTATAGATGATCTTCCTGAGTGAGGGCCAAAGAAAAAGAAAGAGCTATATAGAAGTTAGTACAAGTTCCAGAAATTGGCACCTTCTTTCTCACTGCCTCTGATTAGGTTACTTGCCCTTTCCTGTGCCAATCACTCACACAGGGAAATACTCCGATTGGATGTGACCCAGTTCACATACATCACTCATGAGTCAGCGGCCAAGCCTTTCCCAAAGCCTGGGAGCTAACAAGGCAGGAGGGCGATGGCTCAGAGGGGAACTGAGGTACCGTTACCAGAAAATGATGAGTGGATTATAAGTGGCATAAACAGTTCATCATCATAGTTCCTCTTCCTTAAAATCCATAGAAGGTTAGGTCCAAAAATAATAGTTGTGACTTACATATTAGAATTCTTGGTTTTATTCTTCTATGATATTGAACAGTAGATTTTACATTTTTATTGTACTTAAATAATACCAATCAAAAAGCGCAGATGCACTTCACTGATGGTGGAAAATGCTGAAAATAGGTAACTGACAGTAAGTTTTGAGGAGATACTCTGCAGCATTAGTATAATTTTTGCTGAGCAATCTTGTTAGAAGGCAGGACGTTTATTTAGCATGCGATGCATCTATGAAAGAAGCCATGTCTTTTGAAAGAAGCACATTAAATATTTCATATCTTTCAGTTAATGTGGATCTGAATATATCACAAAATAATCTTTGAGCTTATTTCAATTTCACATTACTTTCAAAGAACCTACCTCTATTTCTTTAAAAAAAATAAAAATAAAAAAGGAAGGCAGCTTGGAGAACACAGGAAAAGATTTGAGACTAGAGGGCCTGACATTGTAGTTGAAGATGAAAGAGTGACACATCTGTGTGCTTGTGTTTCGGGATCGCTAACAGGGTGAGGCTTGGGAGAGACGTGCCTGACTTCCCGTCCGGCAGAGGATCAGTGAACACAGAGAAAGAACTCTAGCCATGAGGCATTAAAAGGACCCCACTCAGAGATAGAGTCAGGGAGGGGCCCTGGACCGTGAGAGCTAACATTGTTAAAGTCAGGTGGAAGCATCCGATAAAAGGAAGAAAGAAACCAGGAATACGAAGACCCCAAGCAGAGAGGCACAATGTGGCACACATAACCCAAAGGTCAGATGGCTGCCTACAGCCCCTCTGGGTGGTGAGGGACCGAAGGGGAGGGAGGATTTCAACTTGGACCAAGGCCCACAGCCTGCCCTACAGGACAGCTCTCCCCTGGGTGACTGGTTGATGGTGTTTTTTTTTGGAGGCCTGATTTTCTTAAAATTAACTTCTTTAACCTAGTCTTATATGCTACTGCCCAACAGTACTGCTTAATTAGGCTGTTGGTGGATTAAAAGAGTTACTATAGTTCAGTATTAAGAACAGTACCTGACAAACACAGACTGCTCCAAAAATGTTGAACCCTTATTACTGTTGGAATCATTATTAGAAAGGTTATTGAAATGGGCATGGCGTATATTCTTAAAGTGACAATTGCTTCCAGATATCAGATGTTAGGGATGTTGAGATCATTTATGACAGAATCTGACTTTCTAAACATCCCCAGTGATACTGAGGCCCTCCAGCTATATCCGGGAAGCATCTTGGACTGGTCACTATCACATGGGATTAGTCTGTTCTCCCTAATAAAGAGAACACTGCTTTCCTACCCTTTTTTTTTTTTTTTTTACTTCATGCTCCAAGCATGTATTCTTGCTTAGTCTAAT